ATGAGGGAAGCCATGGTACCAGTAGATCAATAGCGTCCATGGAAATGATGACTACTTCCTGTCAAGGTTATTAGATATTGAGGGACAAATAATCTACAGAATACACCTATCGATGTTGTAAATGCAAATTGTGCACNCATTTTCGGCCTCGATCGCTTCAACTGCGGCCTAGGCGCATGTGACCCAAAGGTGAACAGCGCACAGAGGACCATTTTTCGTCCAACGTCAATCGAGTACGCTAAACACGGACCTGGACAGCAGCAAAGATAGTCAGGCCACAGCACAGAAAATGACGCTTCCAGTTTATTTTAGTGATAAACTAATGGATTGTATTCCGTCCAAACAAGACTACCATAGATTGATCTGTAGTATGGTTTCAGAGACTCGCCTCGCCTCGCTTGTAAAGTGAGCACTTTCTTAGGAAACGAAGAGATAACTCAATAGATTTGAGATATTTGGCTTAAAGCTCATTGCAACGACGAACTGGGAGAGCTCAAACAAGGACAATAATTAATATGAGCAAGGCGGAAGTTGAGGAAGATTACTGTAAGCTTGGTGGTGTAAGCTTGGTGAATATCGGTTAAAAACAGGCCATATGGTCGTGAGGTATCTAGTGCATATTCACTTCCGTACGAGTGGAAATTGAGGTAATATTACTCCACACTAAAAAGATTCTCTTGAGAATCGAAAATTCACGGCTTGTGTTTTGATTGTTGTCCACTAAGGTAGGGCATTATTGATAAAACTTAACGGTATTACCTTTCATTTAATCGCTCAAAACAGCGAGCAAATTTCAAATCTGTCTCACCATTTCGTTGGTTAAGTTATTCAATTCGAACGGGTGAATCATCGGGATGTAAATCAGGGCTTATGTTCAGTTTGTCGTTTAAATATTGTTCCATATGGATTTACTGGAACATGGACTCTCACTGAATAATTCCCGTTGCAAATGCAGGTCGAATTTTTACTACTTTCGCATTCTACCTAGCTTAGAATTAGAGTTACCCCGTGTTATTTTCACGAGATTTTGTTCTACTGTGTTACTTTGAATTTATGAAACACAATTATTTCTAGAGATTCTTGGGAATATAAGCTATGGGCCGACCACCGATCTAACTATGCATTCGAGACTGTACCCTTAAACTTTGTACGTTCACGTGTAATCTTCAGGGAAGCATGGCTGCTCCATACAACCCGATGGCCAGTCGTCTGGTTCATTCGTCTCCCTTCTGGAGAATCCCCTTGCCGAGTAGATGGAATGGAGCAAGTGTACGACTGTTCTATTACTGGCCACTTGCATTTGCCATAGTTCGGTACTGTGGTTAGAGTCTTGTGGTGTTTTAGGGAAAAGCGGCTATCTTGTGGAATCCCTTCACGTCTTCGGGGACTGTCGATGCTTTTGAGTTCACCTTAAGTAGGTCTAGCCACCAATTTGATTATCGTTACCTTTTCTGTGACTCAGATTCACGACATTTAGCCTTCATTACTTTCCCTGATATTCCATGCAGATTTGTTCCCTTACAAGAATTTCGCAAACAGGATGGGAATAGCGTCGAATGGCACAAACAATACTATAGGGACTATATATTACAGTTTTTTTTTGGGGGGGGGGGGAATTTTCCACAAAAGAGTCTCTTAGCAGAGTTATTTGGAAAATTTACAAGCTTAGGTAGTCGCTGACCAGGGATATCTGTCATATTGAAGGAGGTGAGAATAGTATCATCAAGACCAAGCTTCCCAAGGTTCACCAGATCGTGGTTTGTGGAATCAGACTGAAATTCACATCCACGAGCAAATACCGCTCGGCGATGGAAACAAACAACCCACGTTTTCAAATTTGGAGTGCAGAACCAAAAAATGTCTACACTAATATGGTATGTGTCATATGGAGTCGGGTGACAGTGGAGCTTTCAATCGCATCCAAAATCGGTTCGTTCTTGGTACTTTAGCTTAGGTTGGACGAAAGAGAGTATCATACACACAAGAAAATATTTGTTTTACTTTTGTTACGTGTTTTATTGTCACATCATTACTGTCACTTATTTATTATTCAGTAAACATTACTGGCCATCTTGACGTGGAAGCACCACATGAAATTATTTTGTATCGTCCCGTTCGTATATCAGATGCCAACAACATTCTGATTGTGGTTCGCCGTCAACTTCAGCTTCATACCTGATTACTGGGATGCAGTCGCACAGACCTTCTCATCCCTCATCCTCGTTAGTCCGATACCAACATGTCTGTCTTTGGAACTGTCACAGAGCTTCAGATGCAGGCCTTCCGTTTCATTCGTTCGTTCACTTGTGCGTGTGCACACCGCACATTGTCTTGTCCTGTCTACGAGCTTCGCACTCTCACCGGGTCTAATCATTTTCAGTCATCCCAACACTCATTCTCAATCGAAAGCACTCACCCGGTCTGCCGGTTAGTTCTAACCGCAACAATAGCCAGACAGCCAGCCAGTCAGTCAGTCAGTCGTTCGCTAAGCGATATTTGAGCAGGCTAACACAGATTGGCCTGGTTGTGGTTACAAGTGTGTGTTGTCGGGATTCGCGGTAAACGCCCAGGGGGCTGTTCAAATTCGATTGGAGCATAAGCACCTCTAAGGGGTAGAGAAACGTCTGAGTCTGCGAGAGTGCACGCAGCGGGGAAGCGGTTGAGAATTGAGGAACAAACGGCCGTTAAATGCCCGCTGCCACTACTACCGCTGTTTCCACGTCGGTTGCTTCTGCTTTACAAGGTGCGAGCGCGCAAGAGAGAGAACATGCACACACAAACGCAGATAAACATAGTTATTCAATGCTCATTGCAGCGCGTGCACGCCAATGTGCACAGGTAGCTACTGTTGAGCACGCTGTGTACATGCACACACACACATACACACGTCACACTCGTCCACACTTAACTGACCAGTGTCCGTCTGTTTTTCCGGTTGCATCAAATTGACGCGATCGGTGCTTCTCACTTGACTCTTTCCTTTGAGTTGCACAAATCGGCGGGAAAACATGCATCCGGACATTCATATATCCAGGTCTGCCGGAACAAATCATCATACTAGCGGTTATACGTATGTGTCCACACCTGTACATGCAACGAATTTGACCTGTATGTATTTGTCAGAAGGTAACACATCTAGACAGGTGAACCAAGGTTCACAAAGTGACTTGTTAGCTAACAATTCCGTCAACCAACCTATCGTTACTTCATCTCCGACGGAATCCAGTTCCACAGACCGCAAGTCCACACAAACTGATTTGAATCCCAAGGGATTTTCGATCAATTCGTTACTGGACACAACCAGTCTCACACGGATCTCATCTATGCTTTCCAGAGATCCTCTCACTCCGACCGCGAAAACTTCTCCGAGGAGAGCGGATCGACTGGAATCGTATTCGGGAGCACAGTCAACCCGATTGGCTCTTCCAGATATCGGTGAGCTTTTGACCTATCCTAATATTAGCATTGAATTTTATTTGGATAATTCTGATTGATACAAAACGATGAACACATTGAAAATTTCATTCTCGGGGCCACGTCTTCTGATTCCGAAACTGTCGAGTTCGTGGACCTGGAATAGAAAGCAAAGCAGTACCCGTTTAGCCCTGCTAGAGATTCCGCTGAACACCAATGTACTCAAATTGTGAATGATTGCGCAGTTTCTGATACTTTTGATTTGTGAACACCGGACTTGCTTTGCTTGTTTGACTGTCACTCCACCAGTTTCGACCATAACAACGTGTTTGCCTGTCCGCGATCGATCCTTGTGACCACTGATACATTATGGTCAATGTAAATGATTAGGAGTCTTTGTAAAGTGTCTTTTTCACGTCTCTAACAGTAGGTTCGATCTTTCCGAACACAGTATGAAACACCGTTTTGTGTGAACTGAATGAGCTTGATAAAAAATGACTCATCTAATAGCTTCCAATCCTATTGTGCTCCGACCTGTGTGCAGGTCGCGTTTTCGCATTGTCCGGAAAACTTATTGTGAAAAGTTGGGTCTGAATTGATATATTTTGATATATATTGAAATATTTTATCAGTCCAACTCAGAATGGTCGACCACAGCTTCAAAATTTCCTAGAGACCTAACTCTTCCCGGTCGGTTTATCTCCGATCATCTTGTTGCATACGGATTTCTTTTTCCACGTTCCCGATTCTATGCCGGGTCTGACCAACAAACAATTGTTTGTTTACCTAATATCAATTGATTAAGGCATGGCAGTTCATCTGGGAACAAATTGAGCGTCGAACAGGAACTATCTCGTAGTACGCTAGCAACTTCACATAGAGTTCAGTTAACAAAATGTGTTCACTGTTATGTGGGGATAAAAATAACGAAGATGTCACGTACAACGATGGTCAAACGTAAACAAATGAAGATCACCTTTGTAGGTTTACAATGAGTTTGTGCAAAACCATCTCGTCAACTTAAATGCAAACCAAGTAGAGTACTTTTAAATACGGATATATATCTACGTGGGATGGTGAGCATCAAACAGTGAATCTGGTTGTGGCATAGGAGCAACAAGTAGATAGGCTGGGATTCAGAGCATGGTAGGAATCTTCAGGAATATTGTAGGCGAAATAATCACATGCAGTTATTCGAAAATTGCATCGTTTTGTGATTAACGTTTTTAGGGGACGAAGAGAAACGTGGTCAACAGCGACAAGCCGTGGAGAGTTGCAATGCAATCCTTTTCGCTGAGCAATAGTAAAATGTAACGGAAAATGCACTGAGAAGCAAAAGAGCATGCAATTGAATGCTCCACTCTAAATTGTTACAGCTTACTGTTCTAGAAGGATAAGCAACTTAGTTTACCAACACAAGCTTGCACATGGAGTACCAACGTAGAATGCTCTCCATGGTGACTCCTAGGTATTTGGTGGTGCGTTCTAGTAGGGGGTACCGCGATGATTACGGAGGATTCCAAGGGATGCCCAGACCGGGAAAGACTAAAACCGCATTTGAAGCATTTAGAACCATACACATGGAGACTGAATTGGTTGGAAAGTTCTTCCATTCGTGCTAAACTATCAGACTACTTTAAGGTGGCTTAACATGAAAGCACAACATCTGCCACTTGAAAGCTCTTGGTTGGCGGGAGAGAAGGTTAGTTAGGGATGAATAAAGAAGATATGTATGGACAAAGCACGACACTCTGAAGGACTCCTTAATTATTCACAAACTCTTTTGAAACGGCTCTGGTTGCCTGTGTTCTTTGAATCCTTCCTGCAAAACAGTCTTTCAATCATGACAATGAGGCGATGAAGCAACCGAGCCATTGTAACTTTTGGAGAATAAGACATCCTGGAACTGAATCCAGAATGGCAAAAGAATCACGGAAGACACAATGGACAATTTTTTAGGAACCATCTGCCAATTTACAAACGTACATTTGTTTGGCCTATACTTAAATTGTTGGGGGTCATTGAAAACACTAACACGAAATCGTAAGAATGTGTTCTGTTGGTTTGTGTGTTCAGCGAAAATGATGGCAATCGAGCGTGGGGATTCGGATAGAACATAAGATGAAAGGAATGAAGGAATGGAAATAATGGTGAAAGGTCTGCAGGAATAAGTGATGATAAATGTGTACATGAATTAATTCATAAGGGTTGACTGATCACCGGAGCAGTCATCATGGTAGCGAATTGTAGCTCACCCTAAGGATCTGTCTTCGGCTGTTATACCAACAATCGAATAGAATGTCATCAGATGTCCCCCCCCCGCCCTCACTTGCACACATCGTAAACAGTACCTCTCAATTGATGGACATGTATTAACTATTTATCGTTTTCTGAAACCTGCAACTAGCTCCTGCCACACGGTCAAATGTCGGATTTTTATCGTTCGGTATTTTGGCCAGATTCGGTAAAGTTTCACCTGGATTGACAGAAAAAATTCATAGATTAATATTCACTAAAACTTCATCTACGATATTAATAGATTCGGTGTTGGGATAGAGGGGACAATCAAGTACGGTTGATTGCTTATGGTGTACATTCCTAAAATAAAACCAGATAGTTTAACCCAACCATCTGAATTCATTTACTAACTTTCAGTTGACACCCATGGATTTATTATTCTGATGATTGGTTTCCTTGGGTTATGGGCCTACTCTTGTTAGGCATTGAAATGATGGCTGACAGCTGTAGTTATTTTTTTCTTGTCGTTGGTATGGCTGGTGATCGTTTTCATTGCCAGCTGACTGTTTAGCTTTTGGACGTTTCGTTATTGGGCTTGGCGATCTGTTTAGCATAAACTGAAAAGAAGCATTTGTTTCATGTGGCAGATGGATGAACAGCAGAAATATCCGCTTCGTTTGAAGAAGAAGTTGTCTAGCCTAGTTCGGAAGTGTAAGAAAACCAGACCAGATGCCCCTAAGAACAACTCGCATGGATGGGACTCCGACCATGAACATAAATTGAAGACCTCTAATTGTGTAACGTGCTGCTCATCGATACTCGTGTTTCATTTATTCGCATCAAACAGAATCTGTTGTTAGTTCCTTTCAAGCCTAGAAAAGAGAAAACACCATGATATTTTCATACCACTGTTCAGCATCTGTCAGATACGGTATTTGTTGATGAAATTGATCAAGAAAACCCCGATCAACCAAACTGAGGGAAGAGAGACAAAAATTTTATCCACGGTTCTTGGTGGTGGTTTGAGCAAAATCAGTCTCCTAGACGTCGATCGAGTCACCGGAATTTCAGAAAGATTTGGATCATTGTTTAGAGACAAAAATAAAAATATCTTGTAAAAGTTGAATCCATTTTTGTGGGTAAGTGACCCAGAGAAAAGATTGAATTCAATGCATCTGAATACCTCCATTTTGTGCTTCAGTAGATAATACTGTGTTATAGTCACGTGATGCCCACTTTCCTATTGAAATTTACTAACCAATACAAGTAAACACAAGCGTCATGTAAATACTTTTCTTGTTTGCATTTTTAACAAGCTATACACGGGAAAACTAAAGATGATGTACATGATTGTTTAACAAATAGGAATTCATCAGTAGTTCCATTGGAGCCTAGATGCAACCGACGATCTTCCGTCATGGAGAAAAACCTCTTAACTGGTTCATACGTTGCAAGCTGACTCATAGAACGTAACTGTGGCTGTTCTCTTGTTTGTTTAGCTGGTCTGTTTATTTTATCTCAAAACAGGAAGGGAAATACGTTTAAATAGAAAAAGATAGTTCAATGTCTCATATTATAACTTTTAAATTGCTTAAACGGTCCAACAGAACACGTTTAAAATAGAACAGATTGACCAATTAAGCTCATTCCTATTAATTCTTAGTCAACAATTCACCACAGTATCAATACTCAACTACCCCGCTGTGTGCCTAAAAAAAATTGGTAGAGCGGCCTAAGCCCCCTTGGCCCAGCCCAAACCTAGTGCCTATTCCTAGTAATCTCAACGATCGGATGATCGATCATTGAGAATTCAATATCGAGTATGAAAACGAAATTAGTCTCAAATGATCTACGATGTCATTTTCCCCTTCAAAAAACATTTTTTATAGTTGAGTACTGATCTTCTGATATTTATTGTGAGTTAGTGGCATGATTGCGAATCACTGAAAACGCGTTTGCTCATCACCCTCTGTTCTATTTGAAACCTTGGTTGATTCTGTCTTGTCGCTCTGCTTCCGTTGGTGTCATCCTGAACGTGGGAAAGATAGTCCAAAAGAAAAACAGCATCAGATGGCAGACTGAATGTGAATTGTCCAAAATAATTGCCGCACGAGCAGGTGGCCAATATAGCAATGATCACTTTCTCGTAACCACATCACTTGCATTCCAGTGAAACGTCTTGGAACGATGGAAGATGTTCTTGTTTAGTTCCATGCGAGACACAGTTTGTGTATTATTGTTCCTGTATTTAAATCCCTCATCTTGGGATTTTAGTTTCTCGGTTAATTTCTGGTAACACTTTTAACTAGAATTTGAAGCGAATATAAGGAACGCGCAACCGACAGCTGTTTCGTCCTTGTTGGGACTAGTCGGCCTTGCGTAGTAATTCTATGACTTTGCCGTCACGTGTGAATAGTGAGATCTACACCAGGAAAACAATATTCAGGCTAGAAACTGTGTATATCTCGAAGAATAAAACATCTCTAATCCACACAAGGATGTGCTCCAATGTTGGCCGTAGCTAAGCTGGAGGGAGAGGTTTTTCTTCTACTATCAAAACTTAGCGGTTCAAGTACTGGCAGGGACCAAAAATAGCACACATTGCTGATGAGTCCCAACCATGAGGAAATAACTGATCGGTGATTTTGCCTTCTTCTTCTGCATGCCAAATTCTTTAAAAACTAAACATGATCGTTTGAGATGCAGTTGAGTGGATCCCTCCCCCATCAGAAATATGACTTTCTCACAATTTGCTTAATCGTAAAATTTTATTCGTTTGTGTCTTAGTTGCGAAATCTGAGTAAGGGTTTTGTTCTTGTGGAGAATAGGAATGCTTCACACA